ATACGTGGCAAGAAGCTTTTGGAGGACCAAGGGGAAGGTATCCCCAATATCATGCTGCATATAATGAACTGAGGGTAATTATTTATTTTGCCTTTCAATTTGCACTTTGCTGTGCACATTTATCTTTTCTTTGCGAGCATCAATTCCTTTTGAGGACGTAAATGGATTAACATTTACAGGGGAAGTCTATGCCTGACTTCTAGAACTTCATTCTTTCTGCTTAGATCAACACATGCAAGGACATGTTTTCAATTAAGTGGTAGTATGTGGATATAGAGGCTAAAATGGTTGTGTACTCTTTCTTCTAACAATTAATAACATTGTACTAACTATTTATGTTTCGATATTGTATATTTATATCCATAGCCCAGAGAACTGTATTTCAGTCATCACATTTTTTATTATTTTGCTAAGAACTTCAGTCATTAAATCTTTGTGCTCATATTGTGTTTGTTGTGATGTTGACACAAGAAGGGGATGGTTCTGGTTATTATTTGTGCTATTAGTCTTCATATGTCATTAAATGAATCTTATTTGGTAACTGACAGTCTGCTGGAGTTGAATTCCCACCCCGGGCTGAGAATAGCGTACCATTTTTTACTCCACCACAAACCCAGCCTGTAGTTAACCCTACTTCATATGATGATGCTGCCATACAAGCCTCTCTACAGTCAGATGCTTCTGGCCTCAGGTATCAATTGAAGAATATTCTGTGTCCAATTTCTTCAAAGTTTGTGTGTAAGCCAATAAGGATTCTTAAAGCCTTCATCATTATAATTTGCCATCAGTTGGTTTTGGTTATAAGATCAAACATGTGGCTTCATGTTAATTATATAAATACAGTTATCTGATTTCATCAAATCTTGGGGTAGTTAACTCTTTGGAAAAAAAGTTGAATAAATTAGTTCATTTATATGGCTATTTGATGTGTCTTGCACATCATGATTTTTTTATGCTGCAGATGTTGCACTGTGATTTGACCTATGCAGAGATTTTCAGTCTGTGCTTTTCTTCTTCCAATATATAATATATTTTTTCCTTTTTCAGCTTGGCAGAGATTCAAAGTGCCCAGGGAATAGCAGACGTACTAATGGAAATGCTAAGTGCCTTGGATCCAAAGAAACCTGAGGTAGAATTTTCTCTCCACCTCTATTGTTTTTTTAGTAGTGTATGTGTGAGAGAGAGAGAGAGATTTGCTTTGATGTTGAGTAACTCCTAAATAACATAAGCATGGCCAGATGAAAAATTGCTTGCCTATTAATCAATCATCGTAGGATTCCTCTAATTCTGGGTATATTTGACAGGGTGTGAAGGAAGAAGTAATTGTTGACCTTGTTGATCAGTGTCGTTCTTACCAAAAACGTGTCATGCTTCTTGTAAATGATACAGTGTAAGAATTTGATTCACATTGTCATCTTTACCTTCATTTAGCATTGGTGATGCTGATAATTACTGTTGCTTTTCTTACAGGGATGAGAAACTTTTATGTCAGGGTTTGGCTTTGAATGATAGCTTGCAGCGTGTGCTTCGTCGGCATGACAACATTGAGAAAGGAACTCCTTCTGCAGAAGTAACAGAGACTCCAGTTGTGCCATTTGTTAATGTCAACCACGAGGATGATGAGTCGGAAGATGATTTTGCCCAGTTGTCTCACAGGTGACTTTTTAAAACAGATACTTCAGTAGGTTTTCTTTTCTTCTTTTTAATTTTTTAGTCTTTTATTCAATTTCTGTCATTTGCATTCATAAAGCTCATTGGCATACGAGGTATGATGGACTTGTGCTTATTGTATGCTTGTTCTTTGCTTGAATTGCTGCACAATCTAATTTTGGGATATGGCAAACCCCATGTAAGTTTTCTTCCGAGATATGGCTGTTGAGTGTCTCGGTGATTTTATTAGGGATCACCATTGATTTTTTTCACTTTTTTCTTTGGGAGAATATGTGGGGGTTATAGACATGGAGTTGAACTGGAAGTATAACATAACTTTATAAATGAAAATTGAGGACTTTAGTAGGCATTATCTTCTCCTCATCTTATAGTATACATACATATGTATGATTGTACAATTGTATGTGCGTATATATATTCATTCTCACAAGTTGTATATTCATTCATTGCAGGAAACCAGCCAGTACTAGGAGTGAACCAACACGAGTCAGCCCACTTCTTCCTCCTCCTCCATCATCAAAAAAGCCGGTCTTCACAGATGCTGGCACAATTGATTATCTCAGTGGTGATGTGTACAAATCTGAAGCATATAATGAAACACCTGAACGTACACCTTTTGCAGCTCCAACTCATTCGTATACAAATTCCTCTCCGCCATTGACCCCAACCCAATCTTTCTCACCCCCTTCCAATGCTGGTAACTCAAACTCATCACCTCTCTATTCTTCACGGCCTGTATATGATGAGCCAACTCCTGAGAAGCTACCCTCTGCTCCTTGGGACACTCAACCAGGTGGAAACCTTCCGCCGCCACCTTCCAAGTACAATCAAAGACAGCAATTCTTCGAGCAGCAATATGGTTATCCTGCTCAATCAAGCAGTGGATCTGGTTCCTCTTATGACAGCTTAGTGGGACAAACCCAGTCTCTCTCTCTGAATTCATCTACCCCCAAGAAAGAAGAAAAACCTGAAGATGCTCTCTTCAAGGATCTTGTTGATTTTGCCAAATCCAAGTCATCGTCTTCGCCAAAGCCCAATAGGTCATTTTGAGTTGAGTGAGTAGCAGAGAGTACTTGTGATACAGGTTTGGAGTATATTGTTAGTTGATTAGGCTTTGCATCAGATAAATAAACATGGGTTTCTGATTTTGGATTCTGGTTTGACGTTGCTCTTTAGCCTGTTAATCTTTTCAATCAACTCCTCATCGGATATTATTTTGGTATATATGCTCCAGTATATCAATGTATCATATGATTCTATTTGTTTCTCTACTGCTTCTTCCTCTTCAATAAGCGATTATTCTTTTTTTATTTTTTTTAAACATGGGCTCCAAGCCTCCAACCACTAATATTAAATTACACATAATTTTAACCATATGTTAATATGATTTTTGATATTATAAATTCATGTTAATCATATTATTTATTGAATAATGATGAATGTAATCGTCGTTTTGTTAATTAACGACACTAACGCAGCTTGTTATTTAATTATCATATGATAACAAAGGTAATAATGATGATATTAATGGTTTAACTGCATGTAGTTACCATTGTTCTTTATAGTAATGAGATTGATTGTACAACCATATAAATGTTTGGCTATTTTGTGTTAAATTTAACAATCAATGATTATGAATGTAATGATCAAATTTGTGGACATATTGATAGTAAAATTGCTGTTTTCTTCTTAGAAATTTCTTAGTGTTCTCTATTTATTATAGGATGTGTACATTGAATTGAATGAAGTTGCAAGGTGAGAATGACTTAAAAAGATCTACATGCAAATTAGTTTAAATAACTTGCAAGTGATACCTGTTAGTAAACTCACACAGGAACTCATGCTCACCTTGATTTATTTCTAACAGAGGAGAGCTCTTTATCTGGAGTTGTTGCGCCTCTTAAGGGCAAATTCTCTGCACATTTGGCAAGAAGTTCAGATACTGATTAGTTTTAGTTTCTCGTATTACTGTTATTATAGTTTGGATGCCTAAGAACTCAATATAATGTCCTCTTCTTTGGGACAAAATTGAAACACTCCGGTCCAGTTTCAAGCCCCTTTGGACGTGATGTCTACTGTCTAGCTGGCATCCTTGGCTAAACCATTCTTGGGCTATTCTAAATCATCTATACACTTTTGGTTTTGTCTTGCTCAGCACGCCAGCCCACTGTTAAAATATTGTGATTTTTCTCTTATCTACCTTAAATAGTAGGGTCAGAGAGTGCGTCTCCTTGATTGAATCCTTGGCTAGTTCAATTGTAGGATATTACAAAAATAGTTATAGTAGCAATACCAAGTCAAGTCATCTTGGGTTGGACAAGAGACATTGTCAGACAATGAAAGCCTAGTTTACTTTAGGTTTTAGTTCAGACTTTATACATCATCCCAGGGGCTGTCAATTGTGGAAATTTATTTTGGTTAGCCCTACTCTAGCAGAGGAAAGTTCACGGAATGCGAAAGTCATTAAGTCATGACAGTTACCACTTTAATGCCTGGCCTGCTTCTCTAATAATGCTAGCCCTCATTAACTGGTCGCTGATGTCCTGTGGCTTCAGCCATCATCATCAATCCTGGTTTTCTTCCATGTTCCTACAAGGAAATAGTCGTAATTTCTTGCTTCTTTTATCAGCTGTGAAACTTAGTTAACTAATTATTGTTATCTCTATTTAGATTAGTTTTATCTAAATAGATACGAGTGTTAGTGTTCGATTTAATTGTTTAGTATTAGGATTCCTAGTTTAATTGTCATTTTATATGTGAGAAAAAATTATGTGATTGACAAGTTTTCTCCCCCCTGTTGTTGTTAGCTTGATTGTGTTTAGTATCATATTAAAATGAAAATTTCTTACATGTTTGATGTTATAAGGAATTACTGATGTCTCTATTCCTTCTTGTCCTGCTTCTTCGTCAGGGTAAAATCTCATCTTTATATGATGGGTGCTTTACAATAAAAAATGAACTGTAATCTTCTGATGAATGGGTTTTCATATACCTTGATTTCCTTGCATGGAGAATTTAGTTGAGTTAACTTGTCAAAGACTTGACTTTTCTTAGCCGGTGAATTTCAATTGGTCTTGCAATCAAAATTTTATATCTGAAATGTGTTTCCAGGACTGTTTTGAACATTCATTTTAGAATATTTAATGCCTTGTTGACTTGTAGGTGTAGACTTAACAAATACTCTATTTAACATTGTATAATACAGCTCAACAGACGGGACCCAGCTGAGATAATTTATAATTTGACATCTGATGTCATATAAATCTGATATCTGGTTTTTTTTTTTTTTTGCCTTCTTTTGAATGGCTTTTGAATTTTCAAAACTCCAGTAGTCGCCTATGTGTTTGAATTATTTTTCTGGCCATAGGATTTTACACATGATCATTCCTAGAAGGCACATATCTTGGATTTGTCTTCTCTGTTTTCTTAGTGATCTGTTCTCCTTGGTCCTATATAACTTGTAATTTAATCATTTAGTTATCCAACTGGAAATAGAGGAGTAGCTTATAAAAATGGTAGCCATGTTATTCTTTCTTCTTCTCTTTACAAATTTTCGGGCAACAACTCAACAGGAGCATCTCAATATAAATCTGTACTCTTCTCTAACCCCCACGGGAAACTCCTCCTGGCTGTCCCCTTCTGGTTTTTATGGTTTCGGATTCTATTCGCAAGGAAATGGTTTTTCTGTGGGAATTTTTATCGCAGGAATACCTCAAAAGACTCTTGTTTGGACAGCGAATCGTGACAGCCCTCCAGTTCCAGGAAATGTTACCTTGCATCTTACGGGTGGTGGCAGTCTCATGCTACAATCAGCAGATGGCCAAGAAGAATCTATTATAAGTACTTCTGTGCCTATTGCAAAAGCCTCTATGTTTGATTCAGGGAATTTCGTTCTCTACAATTCCGATGAGGAGATAATATGGCAGAGTTTTCGGAAGCCCACAAATACAATATTGCCAGGCCAAAGTCTCTTGGCAGGGGAAGAGCTGTATTCAAGTGTCTCGGAAACCGACCAATCAACAGGGATCTTTCGTCTGAAGATGCAATACGATGGAAACCTGGTGCAATATCCGAAGGATACTCCAGATTTGGCTCCATATTCTTATTTTTCATCTTTCACAGATGGAAGAGGTGGTAATGTGTCTCTAAACCTTGATTCTGATGGCCATCTGTATCTGCTTGATTCTAAAGGATCCAATATAAAAAATTTTACACCAGGAGGCAATTCTACAAAAGAATTATTTTATTTGATGAGAATTGACATAGATGGGATCTTCCGAGTGTATTCATTTACATTAAATCAGAGCAATCTGTCAGTTGTATGGGTTTCTTCGAATGAGAAGTGTTCCCCAAAGGGTATTTGTGGTTTAAACAGGTATTGTTTTTAAAATGATCAAGAAATTGGCTGTCAATGTCTTCCAGGATTTGCAGCTAGTGGAGAGGGCAGCAGAATTTCGGGAAGCTGCCAAAAGAATTTCTCGACCGAGAGTTGCGAAAGCAAGTATGGAAACATCATATACAGTATTGAGAGGGTTGCAAATACCACATGGGAGGACAATCCGTATTCCATTCTGTCATTACCGACGGAAGAAGAATGTGTAGAAGTGTGCTTAGAAGATTGTAATTGTGAAGCTGCAATGTTCAAAGATGGAAAATGCAAAAAGCAAAAGCTTCCTCTCACATACGGAAGAAAACTTAGCGATTCAAATATAGCTCTCATCAAAGTCGGCGTTTCAAAATTTGCAGCTTCCCCAAGAGAAGGGGTTGAGCCTCAGAGAAGCAAGAAGGAGCGCCAGGCACATTTTTTAATTGTTGGTGTTTCACTGATTGTGTTTGCACTCACTATTTTGATAATTTCTGGAGTCCTCGTCTACAGGAATGGAGTTTACAAGTACAAAAAGATCTCAAGTAAAATTCGATTAGATGAGGATGTTGGTCCAAAATCATTTACTTACTTGGAACTATTGAGTGTGACTAACAATTTTAGTGAAGAGATTGGTAGAGGAGCATTTGGGACAGTTTTCAGGGGGGAAATATCTCATGGTCAGAAGGTTATTGCTGTTAAGAGACTCGATAGAGTTTCAACTGAAGGAGAAAGAGAATTTCTGATTGAGATGAAAGCAATTGGGAGGACTAATCATCGGAACTTAGTCCGTCTACTTGGCTACTGCCATGAGGGGCCTAACAGGCTCTTGGTATATGAGTACATGAGCAATGGTTCACTTGCAGATTTGCTCTTTACACCAGAAAAGCAACCTTATTGGGATCAGCGGATGGATATTGCTCGCAACATAGCAAGAGGTCTCCTATACCTCCACGAAGATTGTGAAACCCGGATTATTCATTGTGATATAAAGCCTCAGAACATTCTCATAGATGAGTATAATTGTGCAAAAATATCAGACTTCGGATTGGCAAAACTTCTGAACCCTGACCAGACTAGATCACTTACTGGGATTAGAGGGACAAGGGGGTATGTTGCCCCGGAATGGCATAGGAAGCTACCCGTGACAGTGAAAGCAGATGTTTACAGTTTTGGAATTGTACTATTTGAGATCATATGCTGTCGACGATGTGTGGACTCGACCCTTTCTGAGGAAGAAGCTATTCTTGAAGAATGGGTTTACCGTTGTTTTCAGGCCGGTGAGCTTAGAAAAGTTGTGGGTGATGAAGTTGTTGATAACCTGGAGTTGGAAAGGATGGTTAATGTGGGACTTTGGTGCATCCAATATGAGCCACCACTCCGTCCTTCAATGAAAGCGGTTGTATCTATGTTGGAAGGCGTAGCAAATATCCCACGTCCTCCAAGTCCTACCTCTTTTTCTTAGTGCCAATTATAATTTTTGTGCTTGCAGTTATTGTAAATTTGATGAAAGCTGGGTTTCCTCGTGGTATATTCCTGAATTGTGATTTTATAATTTGTGTAATTTCCTCTGTTTAGAAATGCTATAGATGGAAGCCAAGATTAATTACATAGATATCTATATGTATTCATGTACTACATAATACAAGCTTAGAGCACAAATCTTTTACCATTTCTATATGGAAAGAATTAGAGTTTCTTCTATTTCAAAGTTAATACACACAACTTTTGATACTCAATCGTACTGTTTTGCCTATTGGCACATCACATAGGAATAGTATTGTGCATGTAAATTTTCATAATATAACTATAATGAAACTTTTGAATAAAAGACTCTCATGCCATGTAAGAGCAATGAGAGTTGGTAAAATTGTTTATGTAGTATTGTTTGCAGATAGTCCTGAAGCATTCTTCTTTTGTTTATAAATTAAGCTGGTTGGAATTATACTCTGTTTTGAAATGTGGTTAATTTAAGTTGTGAATTTGATGAATAATGTGATCTTCTTTATCATAATTCTTTTAATGCGAGGCTGTTGAAGATTTCGGATTCTTTAGTTAGGAAGTCCTACAGTTTTGTGAAATATGTGATATAGAATATTCCCAATGGTGAATTGTTCAAAGTAATGATATTTTGCTTGAAACAAACATTTTTTTATTATTAAACATAAGCTGGAAACTGGCGGCAAAAGGGCAGAATTTGAAGTGGTGAAGTTGGCTTGGGAGCAGTTCACCGTAGCTGGTTTTTAGTCATGATGAAGTGATTGTTTTTGGTGAATTCAGCATACATTAAGCTGCCTACTTTATATCAAGTTAATGTGATGTAATTTGAGTTGCTAAAGATGTATGGTTAAGATGTATTTTGGGATTAAAATATGTTTTATGTTAGGTACAAGTAGGATTAAAATGTATAAACTTTGTTGCTTCTTGATGAACATATATTGAACACAAGTCTTCCTCTCTATCATCTCTTCCTTCCTTTAGTCTCCCGGGTAATTATTTGTGTTCGTGCTCCAATAACCAACATGAATATGGTTGGACATAAAAGGATACTGCAATGGATATCCTTTTCCTTTTGCTATGATAAACGGGAAGCAAGCATGGGCTGCACATTTGTACCACAACTTACACGAATGCTAATGTCCAAATCTACTTTCTGACAGATTTGGAGCATTTGCTTGTTCTTCATATTTATAAGGTCAGGTGTGACACCTTCCAAAGCAGACACTTTCTATTTGGTTGGGCTCATCCGTTAAGGTCATCACACCCACCCCATTAGGTAGGGGGATACCTGCCCTCTTGGGTGGCAAGCTTGCTTTGTCTCCTCGTGAGGTCTTCACCTGATGAACGTGATCTCCTTGTGAGGTCATCGCACCCGCCTAATCCGTCCATCAGACAACAAGCTCACTTTGTCTTCTCGTGAGGTCCCCACTTTATGTATTCGCCTTCTTGTGAGGTAATCACACTCTACCCAATGACCTACTTGGTAGTGAGTTCACTTTGATACAAATATCATCCCATTTAAGAAAGGGGATATGCCCTACCAATTGGAAATTTTCCGCTTTGAGAAATGGATCATGCCCGCACAAGTTTATGTATGTTGATGCGCATTTTTGCACCAACGAAACGCATGTGTAAAATCCTATGCGGACCTAGAAGACACACGTGAATGTAATGGATAAAGAGATAGTAAATGCAATGGGGACAATTTTTAAAGTGGTTCGGATGCTAAGGTAGCAAGTCCTACGTCCACTGATGCTTATATAAATGATAAAGGCCAGGTCGCTTTTAGCTGACTGACTTTACAATAATGTTACAAGGTATCTAATGCTGAGAATTCTAGAAAAGAGAGAGTAATTAATCAAGCGTAAAATATGTCAATCCCCTTTAATGAGAGAGGAGCTCCCATTTTATAGTGGGATTCCTTGAGGTAATGATCACTAAATCTGTAAGTTGGTGGGATTATCCGTGCAAATCCTTCTTTATGTCACATTGTCTACCTTCCAGAGTGATTTACGCGATTTAGAGCAGGGATTGGACACGTGGGAACACCACAGCTCTTGACTAACCTGACGCGCATCCACTATCCTGACGGACGCAGGCGGCGGTTGTTCCAATGATCTAACTTTTGTGGGCTAAATGGACCTGATGTCGGCCCTTGTATTTTTTAGGCATAACAATGTACATCTACTTACTTAAATCCTGTCCCAAAAACTTCTCTGTTCACTCTTGGGATATTGCAGTCATCCTCTTGCAAGTTTCTCCATTTGTTGCAGAAGATCGTTTATCACTTATCATTCACTGAATTCTATCACCATAGAATGCAGAAGGAAAAGAGTGGGAAGCTGAGAAAAACTTTTGATATTCCGTGAGTTAGCCTTCCCTTGTATATTAAATCAGGCATCATCTCTAACTCTGACATTGCTAGCACTTTTATATTGCACAGAAATTTCCAGGGGCTTTAGCCATCATCATTGTGTCATGAACATCAATCCATGTTTTGCTTCAGTGTTACTTTAGGGAAATAATCATACATAATTTCTCACCAATGTAGCATATTGAGAAACAAGGTTATACTGTTATAGTCATGTCATGGGTTCTCATTGTAACTTTGATTTGTCTTCTACAGCAATTGTTTTTTTCATCTACTTTTGGATTGTTTGCATGCATGTTCACTCTTTGGCTTTCTTGTTTAGACTTTTCTTGGGTTCTCTAGAGCCTTAGAGTGAACCAATTAAACAATTTTAAGTGCAAATTGATTTAAGTTGCAAGTTTGAGAAAATATAATTGCTTAAGCTATCTAGAACATAGAAATTGTTTCATTTCTATTGCTATATGTTTGAAAATTAGTTTTTACATGACTGTAGTCTCATTATGAAAGATTTCTTACCTTATTATTATTATTATAATTATTATTATATGAGTGAAGTGAGTTCAGAATCCTCCAGCAAGAAAACGTGTTATAAGGTCGGATAATTTTCAACTTACAGCAAAAGTTTTCTGTGAGTCAAGTCACAGACGAAAATGGTGGCAGATAACGCTAATTTAACCGCAAGCTTGCTTTTGGGTTTTGAACTAACTTTTATTCTACTTTCTATCAAATAAATTCACTAAATGGTAAGTCAACATGTTTTCTTTGGTAGGTTTAGAATCATCTTGTTCTTGTTTTTGGTCTTTATTTTTCTGAAGAATGCGTTTGTCAAAAATCAAACTCATTTCGTAAAGCATCTATCATGGCTTCTGTATTAGTTATGTGCTTATCATTCTTTCCACTTTTTTCGCATATACGAGCAGAAGTAGAAATAATTTAGACTGATAGTCATCTTTCCATGGTCAAAATGCGTAAACTTTTTTACTAAAAAGGCTTTATTTATCTTCTCTTTCAGCGACAAATCTTAAGAACTTCAAAAAATACAACCGCTTTCAATCAGTCCCTATAATGGCTTTGCATATGTATTTTTACTATCACTCTTCTTCTTTTTCAAAGCTATTGTTGCTAAACATCTATCACACTGGATAAGCCTAGGCGCTTCACTGTCTCCGACCAGGGATCCTATGTCATGGGACATCTGGCCATTTTAAGTTTGGATTCTACAGAGAAGGCAGTGGCTATTCAATAGGAATCTGGATAGTTACTTTTCCAGAAATCACGGTCGTTTGGACAGCAAATCGAGATGACCCTCATGTGTCATCAAATGCAACACTTACAGTTACCATGGATCATAAGCTCATGCTAAGAACTGGCGATGGCCAAGAAAAAACAGTTAGTTACACTCGAGAGTGCTTCTTTCAATTCCATGTTTGATTCTGGTAACTTTGTGCTCTTTATCAACCCTTCTAAGATCATCTGGTCAAGTTTTTGATTTTTCTACTAATACGATATAGGAAGGTCAGAATCTATATTCCGGATGTGAACTGTTTTCCAGTGTCTCTGAAACCGATCACTCAACTGGGCAGTGCTGGATGAAGATGCAGAAGGATGGGAATCTTGTTTTGTATCCCATAAACACCATTGACAAGTATTCTGAGGCTTACTGGACCAGTGAAACTGACAACAAAGAACAGCATCATTTGTTTCTGAATTATAGAGGTGAACTACTCACAACAGCACCATGGCTAGAGCAAAGAGTTTTAGCTCTGATTATTATTATGACGAAAGGCTCAACAGCTCAACCATCTACCTTGCAACACTAGGCTATGATGGGATTTTGTTGTAGATGTGCATCTAAATACTACTACAACCAAAAAGTGATGCCAAGGTGGCAAAATTTTTGTTAGTTTTTTTTACAGTTATTGTTCAGTTTATGTGCAGTTTGTAAGCAGTTGTTTTGCAGTTTTTTTTTGGATGCTCTATAACTTTTAAACGCTTTCTAGTGTGTGAGTGTGTAGTAGAAAAAAGTTCAGTTTGATTAATGGTGAATCAGTTTTTTTCTGCAATTGATCTTCTTAATTTGCTATTACATTTGCTTTAATTGTTCTATGCTACAACAAATTGGTATCAGAGCATAATTCTCAAGGGACTTGTGAGAGGTGTGTGAGTAAGAATGACTTCTAATTCATTCAATCCAGTTGCTCCACCAGTGTTTAATAGTGAGCATTATCATGTTTGGGTTGTAAAAATGACCACGTTTCTACAAGCTGTAGATCTTTGGGAAGCTGTAGAAGAAGACTATGGAGTAGAGCCTTTGTCGGATAATCCTACGATGCAGCAGATTAAAGCTCACAAGGAGAGGGTTACAAAGAAGTACAAGGCTAAAATGTGTCTTCATTCAGCGACTTCACAAGGCTTGTTCACGAAGATAATGAATTTTCAGTCAACTTATCAGATTTGGCAGTATCATAGGGTAGAGTTTCAGGGTAATGAAAGAACAAGGAGCATGAATGTGTTGAACCTGCGAAGAGAGTTTGAACTCCAAAGAATGAAGGAGTCCGAAACTGTCAAGGAGTATGTAGACAGACTTCGTGGGATTGTCAACCAGATTCAACTTCTTGGAGAAGAGTTTTTAGATAGGAGAATTATAGAGAAACTCCTAGTTACTTTGCCTGATAAGTTTGAGGTTAAGATATCAACCTTGGAAGAGACCAATGATATGGCAACGATTTCGTTGGCAGAGCTTTTGAGTGCTTTGCAAGCACATGAACGAAGATTGCAGATGAGAGAGGAGGGGTCTGTTGAAGGTGCATTAAAG